AAATTCAACGTTCTACCAATTTGGCGATAACTTTCCCCTTTGGAACGTAATAAAACAGTTCTGTCTTGTAGAGAAGTTGATAGTTCAATCTTCTTACAATGCATATACATTATTACTGTGCTACGTACCTACATAAAATCGTAAACTAAATTTATACCTCATTTAAGGACATTGCTATACACGCTTTGTTTACATTTATATTGTTTATGTTTTGCTTTGAAGATTCCAAAGAAAAATTACATGATTTACTGTTGGAATCGTTACTGTGCAAATATTTTTTTGGCTATTAAATTTAGGTTTTTCTTATATTATTCTATTTGTATCATTGTATTAAAGTTTCCTTCAGAGTGTATTGTAATAATTTGTGCTATCTTATCGAACAAGGAACAATCCACCATTATTTTTGTTTGTATCTAAGGAAGTTTATTCCAAAAAAACTGATTGTCCGAATACTTTTTTTACCCACTGCACAACCATCTATTAGGAACAAACAAGAAAACATGGACAGCCTTTTGAAGAAGAACATTTCATTCTTGACACTATCTGCTTACTTCAAGTAATTAAAGCAATAAAACTATGGATATTGAGGTATCGGTACCCTCTCAATTGTGCACTTCAAACGATTGCTAGTTTTTCAGACCAGAAATTCTAAAATTTTTATTCATGGGAATGTATATCGTGTTAACTAAGATTTCGATAGATATAAACTTTATTGAGAACTAACAATTTAGTATAAGAAAAGTATAAATTCAACTAAATTATCAGAAAATTACCGACACTAATTTAGGTTTTTGTACTAATACATGGTGACCGATTTTAATTTATATACGCGTTATTTCTTGAACTATTCGTTGTTCAAAAAAATGTTCAAATAAAACTTACTCCGTTTCGGAGGTGGGGGTTGTGCTGGACAAAAAACATACAGTGCTCGTCAAATTTATAAGGCACCCAAAATTTTTTCAAGTGTATTACGTTCCGTGAGTTTTTTAATATATGAAATCAACGCAGTTCATTGAATACTTAATAAAAACACATTATTCCTCAATTTAGGTCTCGTCTGGTTTATAAGACAGTTTAGATAATATGATCTTTTTAAAATAAACAACAACTAGAATCCTATTCGAAGAATATTTAAAAACACTATAATTACCATTACGATTAATAACATTGAAAATTCGGTTTTGTATGCGATTACTCAAATTCTGAAGCCTTTCCACACTTAATTTACGGCATGCCAACAGTATTAACGACTTCAGATCATCTGGTGTTTAATACACATTCATTCATTGATACATGCACACACATATTTCGGTATTAACAGTCACATTGGACCGTCAATGACGCAGAAAAACCGTCTTCGGTTTCAACGGCAGTGCACTTTCCACTGATGCAGCGCGATCGTTGATTATTTTCTTAATACATAATAATGCGTCGAACCAAGACCTGACCTATGTAAATACATGCTGATTAGCATGACACCTTACACACATGGCTGTTAACACACACTCCCATTAGTGTCAAATAAGGACAAAAACGAACGAAAAAACATGAGTGCGTTATAAGCCTGACTAGGCAAAATATACAAATATTGAATTTTTTTTAACAAAAGCAGCGTTTTTATTAATAATTTAACAAATCCCAATGTTTCCATGTACCAGAAAAACATAGAAGATAATGAACTTATAAATTTTTGGGTGCCTTATAAACCTTACAAACACTGTATCAAGGTGCACATAACTTCAAAACATGAAATAAGATAATCAGCTGACTTGTTATTTGTGAATTTTATTTGTAGAACTCTACTTGTTTTATTAGGAATATTATGGTAATTATTTACATTAGAGGAGGTTGTTCTGATGACCTTGAGCTTGACATATAGATGGTTGTTCATTGCATTCCGTTTGTACTTATTGCTAGCACGAATACATAGACAAATATTTTTTTGTCAACAACTTTTTAAGGAAGAACAAGCGACGGCTAAATCCTTTTTGGGGTTACTTAGGAGATTGCCCTTCACAACAATTGCCAGAATTCGAAACTTGTCGTTTCTATTCAACACTACATAATTATGTAGTCCAGTGGATAGACGCATTTGTCGTGTTTTGTAATAGCTGCGTGAACGTTTCACTTTCAATGAATTCGCTTTTCACTCTCTGTTTTCGTCGTGTCCAGAAACAATGTCAACCACTCTTCCAGTTTGCAACCGCTGCACTGTGTCGTGTTCGTTAGGGGAGTTCTCTCGATTCAACGACGCGACGTTGAACTTTCCTTATATTAATTGCACCTCGCTAATTGACTAGAATTGATCAACGTCGTGATTTTTAAGGAAGACAACTACAATTTATCTTGCTGTGCAGAAAATTTCACGTGCGCCCTTCACGGTCCATTAATTATTATGAATGTTCGTTCAGCAAACGAATATAATGTTTAATTAGAATTTTAGCATGCGGTTATTCAATCAATGCTCAAGGGTACGAACTTGAAAATCCACTTTCTATTGTATCCTTCATTTATAATCTATCAGAGTTTTGAGCATCGATTGCGCTGTCTATTTTCGACATTTACATACTTTAAAGCAGATGCATAGATACACACTTGTACTGTGGTCCATATTCTGTTCCTCGAAGTTTTCAGTAATATCATACAATCTGTGTCATAGATGATTTTAATTTATGTTTTTTCGTTCTATTTGACAAAGGTTAAACAGCCATTGAATGAAAATGACAATTTGTTTTCATAAAGAAATTAAAATGATTTTGATTAGTATTTTATATTGTGTTGGTTTATGTTTATGAGGAGACAGAAAACACACTATTTACTACATTATACTTTCAATAATATAACTTAAATAGAAATTTACATGCTTTACTCTTTCCACTATATGGCACGTATACAGGGCCACCAAATTACTAACTAAAGAATACAAAAAAAAACTATGCTATAAATATCTTACATATACTTATTTTAGATCATGGTTTCCCAATTTTTTTGGTTCACCACACCCTTTTCGATATACGATTTAGAATTTAAAATTCAAAACTACGAGGTCTATAGCAATTTGGATTATAATTTTGAATTTAACTGCGCACGCGAAGAGGAAAGTTCGAGATACTCGATATTTTATCGGACCGGATGCTAGAGATTCGGGTTACATTTGGCAGTTTGGAAATATCTATCTTGTATTACAATCAAGTGGTCTGAGCGTGGGACCACGTTGATTCTAAGGAAAAGAATGCGTTATATTAACCCTCCGAGCACGGTCCCTTGGTCACGCGTTTGCGAGAGCGCATGCACAGTGACAGAGTCAGGAGTGGGGACACGCGGTCTCGAGAGCGACATGTACGCAGTGACGGAGCTGTCGTGTAAATCGCATAGCGACCGATGTTTGTTTACATGCGAGCGATCGAGACAAGACGCCGCAGAAGTATTGACTAATAAATATAATTTATTTTATAATTCACGAGATTTTTATTCTAGTTCGTGTAATAAGAACCACGAAAATTCAAATGTAATGTGGAACCAGCTAATCATTACATTGTATAAATGGTGACGGTGGCTCGAGCTCGAGCTCGAGCAACCGCCACTGCGTAGTAATACCGGTGAGGGTCTCGAGCTCGAGCCTGGCTGTCGCTGTGTAGTAGTAGAATAGAATATCGGTGTGGTGTCAGAAATGACATATAGGGTCCGGTGACCATGTCCGTGCTCGGAGGGTTAACAAGCTTATCTGCGTCGCCAATGAGAGAAACTATCTTATAAATATCAAAGACCGTACTGCGTTTGATTAGGGAGTTCCTACAATACTACAGCATTATCGTAATGCATTCCAGCCGATGTAAAAAAAAAGAAAATTTTGTTCGAAACGTAACAATATCATACTTTGATTAAATACATAAGACATACCTACCATGAGTGTAAAAATATTTTGTACACCTCGTATAGAATCATCTCATTCTACACATATGTATAATATTTCAAGTAGTAATAATAGCTTGTTTGTGTATAGTTTTTTTATTAGTTACACACATTAAGAATGTATACGAAAGTGGTAGTAATATAATTATGAGATTTATATGAAATCATGAAAACCTTTAATGTTTTTCATTATCGATGATCCGTTGGTTTGTCTTTAGATTTAATAACTTCCGATATTCGTTTTTCCGAAGTTGCAACTAATTTTGTAATCACAATAGGATGTAATGATCAGAAACTGTTTACTATTTGATATAATACTTTCTTATGCAGTATTTGATACTTTATCGAAATTCGGGAAGGAATATTAAGTATTCCATTTAAAAGACCGATGGTGGCTGTTATAGTTTGATAAAAATGTAATATAATAAAAACCATATTATTATCTAATATCCCCCCTTGATACCATGCAACTTTTGTTTAAAATATTTTTTCCTACAGACAATTATTTACGAGTAAATTGAGGTTGTCACGTTAGATAATCTACGTTGTGCATACGTTTTGGTTATTTGTTTTTACTTGATGTTTTTTCGTAACTTTTCTTTTTATTCCATTTCTCAAAAAAATGTGATTTTATCATTGAAGAGTGAAAATAATACGAAATGATCAAAAATAATTCAATGCAGGGTGTACGGCAAATTTTTCGATCTACAGTATGTTTGTATAAGCACCGAAAAAAGTTACGATAACTAATTACCAATAGTTTTCTACCATTATTTTTCAATAAGTTCATGGAGTCTATTTGAAAATTCTTTCGTCTTTTTCCATAGAAAATGAACCATGTGTCGAATGAAGTTTCGTAAATTATGAATCCAGCAAAATACTCTTAAGGATTTAGTTTATTCAATTAACGAACGCGGTAAGTGTATTAGAGAATGTCTGAAAATAAGAAGCTCGAGCACGAGACCATAAATATGGTAAATTAATATTTAGAGGGAAGAGTTAAGTGTGTTAATGAGTTATCCGTTTCATTGGCAACGCACGACTCTTCAAAGAAGAAACAGTCGGTCGAGAAGACATGGAGCGAGACAGTACGTTGGCTCTGTTTGCGCTCGTTAATCAGTTGAACTGAATAACGTATTAATACGTTGGGGTCATCGGGAGGGGTTAATTGCAATGTCCACGCCGGATACAATGGACACCATCGATGAAGCGGAGCAGGCGTGGCGTAAGTATTTTTAAACTTTACTAGATTTTTATATTTTCTATAATGTCTCGATCCATTTGTGTATCATTTTGACGAAACACTAAAGAAAACAAACGTAAACATCAAAAAGGTAGGAAACATAATGTTTATCGGTAGATTGTACCATATGAAATTGTTATTTCTAGATGACAAAATGAAAACGTTGCATTTTTGAAAAGATAATTTTTATTTAATAGAAATATCATGATTAATCACTTTTAGAATTAATATCTTTCTCTGAACAGGATATTAAGGTATGAATCGTTTTTAGACCACATGAATTCATCAAATGATATAATTATTGATTCTTGATAAGGAAACATTTCGTTTCTTAGAAAGAACTCCAGGTATCACAGAAAGAGATCTTCTGTTAAGGAATCGTTAATTATCTGGAAAAGAGGGCCTGAAGTCCAATTAAATTGACCTTGGTGTATATTGCAGAGGGGAAGGTCCTGAGTAACATACACTTTGTCTGAGGCTTGGGACGATCGTGGTTCAAAAGTCATAAGAAAAAGAAAATTGTACATATTACATTACGTTTCCTCCAATATAGGGTGTTAATAAAAATGTCGGACACTTTCACAGGGTGGATTCTAAATGCTAAACTAAGACGAAAATCAAGAATGATGAAATTGCGTTCGAGAAAAAAGTGTCACCGTCATAGTGACATGATCACATCTCGCACGTCAAGAGTTAAAACACATGAATAAGAAAAAGTTTATTTCTTTTGAAAGAATGTATTGCACCCAAATATTGAGCAACATATTGAAAGGGGATTAAATTAATACGTAGGTTATTAAACGCTACACGTGGAAATCGCAGGGTAAAGAAGGAAGTTGGTTTACCGAGCGTCTGAGCGAGAGGCTCTCGTGCCGAAGTGCCGGATGATGGAAAGAGACACACAGTGGAATTGAGACCGTTACAACGTCGCACGAAATACGTAGCTCGCGTTGGATCCCCACCAAGCCACGCGCCGAGGCAGACCAACCTCCCAGGCATCTTCTTTAGAAAAACAGACCATAGGTAGCCTTACTGACGAGTCCACTAGCAGGCCCAGGACGAAACGCTTCCTCTCCTTTTCTTTTCACATTTTTCCAGTGATCAGATTGCCGCCAAACTTCATACCTCTTTCATTAAAAAAAATTGTTTGATACACTAAATATATAAAGAATTGATTCGTAATTAATTAAAATCTCTAAGCAATCCCAGTTTCCCTATAATTATCACCGGAAAAATTGAATTAATTTTTATATATTTTAACAATTGAACTCTTTCTATACTATAATTTCGCTATCATTTCCTACTTACACAGTCGCATTTTTAACACTCAAAGTGTTCTTTCATTTTTCAACAATAATTTTTATATACCAGGTACGTGCTAGTACACGTATTTCTTTGTTTTTATGTAAATCAGAGACCTAAGTTAAAAATAAAATTTTTTTGGGCACAATTCTTTATACGTTACGTTCCTATTAAGTAAAATAAATAAAGTGACAGTATTAGAGCACTGTCAGTAATTGGGACATTTACCCAACATGTGAAACAATTGAAGATTGTGCCTCTCAAGTAGAATAACCCGCCGTGTCAGATGTATTTTACTCGTATTTCATCCGTGTTTTCAACAATAACTAATAATATTTTTGAATTCATTAATTAACCTTCATTATTGTCGTCTTAGTTTTGCATATAGAATCCACCCTATGAAAGTATCCCATATTTTTATTATCACCGTATACATATAATAGATTAGTAGAAACGGAATGCAATGAATAGACACATTACCCACGTCACCAACTAGTGTTAACCACGCACCCAACATCCCACCAAAGACAAGGCACACATACGATGTGCTCTGAGGTCCGACGAAGAAACCTTTTTCCTGTTTTTTTTTAAATATTAACAACTAAACTAGTTTTTGGTGGGACGTTGGATACGTGGTTAACACTGGGTGGTGGCTTGGTGGCTACCGCGTCTGTTCATTACATTCCGTTTGTACTTATCTATCATATTGCAGTAACTGTAATGTAACATACCTATACAATTTTTTTTCTCATATCTTTTGAACAACGGTCGTCCCACGCCCCGAACAAAGTGTATGTTACTCAGGATGCTCTCCTCTGCAACATATTCGAAATTTAATAGAATTGGAGTTGCAGCCCCCGTTTCTAAATAATTACCGAGGAAATGTCTAATGAATACTGCGAACGACGTAAGATTTCATGATTGAATTCAGCTAATCTTGCTATGACTAAATTGAAATTTATATTGGAGCAGTGTCTGAAATTATTGTCTTGACACCATATTGTTTACTTATGTAGAATTGTTGAACAGTTAGGATATAGAAAAGCGCAGTACTATTACATATAACGCCTGGCAACATCCAATACAGATCATACATACATGTTAGCGTCGATTCCTTTATGAAGGGAGATGCACGTGGCGTCGGCTTCTTGAGAGGAGATTGTATCGCCAATAGCCGGAACCTTAAACATAACATCGGGCGTTTAGGTTCTGTGGCGGCTCGAGTGGCGATACTTTGTTGATTCCTCGCGGCTTCGACGTCCGGGTATTGCGTGACGGCAAAGGGCCCGACGCCCTGTTGCCGGTCGCTAACGAAGCGCATGCGATAAAATATTTGGAATAAAGGATCTGGCCACGGAGTGGGGAGAGTCGGGGGACTCTCTGGCAAGAGGACTGTGTCAAAAGACACGGCACTTACCCCAGAACCTTTGAGGAATACAGATCTCCTTTAAAAAACCGAGGCGTCAATATAAAGTTTCTAACATACATGTGTAATTTATTAATCATGCTTATGTATCAACTATTTAAATATTGCCAGTTTTATTTGGTAAAATGTAACATGCCATCTGAGACTGCTTAAATTTTTCAAATGGCCGTCATAAGAATCAGACTGAAACGACGTTAAAAACAATTTTACAACAAATTAGATTCCTGAGACTCTAACATTTGTCAAGAAAACGAAGCTAATTGCCGAAATAATGTAAATTATATAGTCTATTCGTTCTGAATTGTCGCTAATAATCAATTCAGGCAGTTAATGCGACAGCGGAACTAAACGTGTATATAAAAAAATCTAACATATCATTGATTATCATTGAAATAAACACATCTATGTAGATAATTGGTATTTTAATGTATAAACGTATTTGCTATAAAATCACATGAGGTATAAAAATACAAATTGATCAAAATAAAGTTTTTATTGAAATAGAAACTATCTAACAATAAGCCAAGACCTGTCACAATATTTGTGTTAATCTACTTGAATAACATTTGCTCTTGTCAAAATTTTGTTTAATCAATATTTTATTTTGAAAAGTAAGTTATAGCCGTTACACTATGTAATTTAAATTTAAATGCGGAGTGAAGGAACTGATAAAATGTAATGCATCACATATTTTTCAACATATTTTGAGATTTCGCCTGATTTAATTTCTACCATCTGCTTAAAGACCGTTCGGTAAGAGTCTTAAATGCATTATAACAAGAGTTTAAAGGATTGACCAAAGGTCAGTTCATTACGGACCGTTTTAAAACTTATCAAATGTTTGGTAAATTGAGATGAACTCCTCCTTCGTTATTTATTTTATTCACTCGTGTTTGCAACAACGCAATTACTAATTTAGGATTAAAATATAAATACACGTTACAGCTCAATATTATATAGTCACAAGTTTGTTCACGAAAGACTGTCATTTTCATTTGACCAAATTATTTATCAAAATGCGAATTTTATTTCAAAATTAAGAAAAAATTATGACTAAAGAGTGATAAGAGTAATGATAAGGAGAATATATAAATAGAAGTTGTATAAAAGTTTTGACACGTAATTGTTATTTCCGAAGTCACTGTACGTACTTATTTATATTTATTAATGCGATGGGCTCTTTTCATAAGTTTATACGTTTTTGTTAAATATGGAATATGTATAAAAAAAAAAGGAAACAGATACCAACCTTACAAATTATCTATCAAATGGATATCTTCATTATAATTCCTACACATTCTTGAACTGGTTTATTGATATTTCCTTCATAAAAGTCGACTTATCTGTTTTCCGAGCCTCGTCTAGTACTTCATACATTCCGATATGTTCCTGGTTAGAAGTATTAAATATTTTATATTTCTCTAAATACTATCTACCTACACAATGACTGGTAAAGTAAACTTTTTTTGCTATTAACAGCAGTCTGTGTAACATGTCTAACTTTTTTTATTTACAGAGAAGATCAATAACTTTGCCTATCTGGAGTATCTCTGGTGCTTTTAGAGATATGAAAATACTTTATTTACAAAAGTTGTGCGGTACCGACGGTCTGTAACATGTCAGTAATAATTCTTTTGCAGGTAGAGAGTTTTGGAAAATTCAAGGTCACCTCTATTCTTATTCAATCACATACCATGTATTTCATCCCTGGCAGAATAACGGATGTTTAGACGATTTCAAGAACTCATAGCACGAGGTCCTTCAATATGAAGTAATTGAATAAAAGGATATTGCAATTATGTATCGGGTTGCTAAAGCCTCTTATGATGTAAGAAACGTTGTTTTACTCTTTTATTTAACGGCAAATGATCTTGTAATCTAGGTGGTTGCAATCGTCTAAACGTCCACTATTCTAATAGAGATGAAAAAGTATAGCATGCAATTTAAAATAATAAAGGTGATCTTGAAGTCACTTAAAACCATCCACTCACAAAAGAATTTTTTCATAAATAAAATTTTTTCATACGTTCAAAAGTAACGAAGATATTCCACGTTGTTCAATTTTTGAGGCAACCTTGCACAGAAATAACTTATTATGATAATTCAATAAAAATCTTTTTAAAACCAATATTTACATTATGAGAATTAAGTATAATGTTAAGTTTATGTCTGAACATAATTTTTTGAGTACTACTTAATAAGACGTTTGTAAATGGAGTGATTAACCCGTGTAACTGCTATAAAAGTATACTGT